TCAACGTGACTTTCTGCCTAACTCGGCACTGGCAATGCTACACCACATTCACTTGGATGACACACCCGACTCGTGGTCCGAGACCTCGGAGGACAAGGGTGAGATGTGGCAACTCCAGGCGCCCCCCACCCGCCCGAGGAGTGCTGACGGTGTCACCCCCGCATCTGAGCTGTCTGGATACAGTTTCAGTGACCTGAGCATTCCATCTCCTGGTGGCTTCTTTGCCTCTTTGGCGCCCCGGGCGCGCCACACGTGGTCAATCCCCAACACCAATTACCAGCCGTCATCGGCGGCTGCAGAGGGGTTTTACAACCTCCCTTGGCGTCGGGATGAAGGAGAGATTGTGGAGCAGGTAGTGGAGTGGCCTGAGCGCCCTGTTGATGAAGATCCAGTCACAGCGGTTCGTGATGAAGAGGCCCCGCTTACTGCTGTTCGACTTCCCTGTGACACACCTACTCGTCGGTCTATCTACCAGGATAGCCCCATGAGTGCTGCGTTTGACGCAGTTCAGGTTCAGGAGATCCCCCGTTCTGGGAACGGCTATGAATACGATGAGTGCTATGACCAAGAGTTGCAGGAACGGGCAGTTGCAAGCCACGATCGGACCAATATCTGGCTGTCTGCCCAAGCATCTTACCTCTCTGCTCTTAATGAGACAAATCCCGTGAATGACATTGAGCCTGCCGAATCATTCGAGGAGTGTGATGAGGTCAAAGCGGAAGTCAAAGACACCACAGAAGTTTCTTCCAAGAAGATGGTGCGATTCGTCGAAGGCGTTCCCGAGTCACCCAGTCCTCAGCCCCCGGTCCTTGCTAGCAAGGATTCAATTTACTGGCAGGGCTTCCAATCTATTCGGGAACGGTCGACCAAAACCGACGGGTTCATGCACCGCAACATGCGCTTCGATGCCGTGCAATCCATGCGCCTCGCCATGAACGACCTTCACATCAACTGCTTACTGGGCAAGTATGAGCTTGTTCGCCCTGGGCGCCCTGAATACAAGGGTCCTTTCGCCAAGGCACCCCGCAACTCGGTGATTACCACCGAGCTAGCTGAGAGGGCCCAATTTGATAAGGTGGAGAAGGAACAGCTAGTTCTTGCTCAGCTGTCCCAACCCATGTGGGCGATGGATGCTCTTCGGTCTCTCAACGGCGGCAATCTGCTCACAAGTCCTGCCCGGCGCATTCTTGCACGAGCCTCATCAAAGCCCAAGACTACGCAGAGACCACACAAGCGCAGCTTCCGCATCCTGGACCTCGGTGGTCACTCCTCCTGCGACTGGGCGTGGCAAGCCGCACACGAGTTCCCAAATGTCAAGGTTTACACTGTTGCTTCCAAGAACCAGACCGTAAACAACGCCATCAAGGGTCCTCCCAACCACCGCCAGGTGACCGTGGCCAACCTCTGGGAGCTGCCCTTTGGCAACAACCAGTTCGACGTCATCTCCGCTCGCTCCTTGCACGCACTGCTGAAGACTGAATGTCCCCCAGGCAAGGACCGCGACGAATACGACCTCGTTCTGAAGGAATGCATGCGATGCCTCAAGCCAGGCGGCTACCTCGAGTTCCAAGTTCTTGACGCCGAGATCTCGCAGGCCGGGCCGTACGCCAGCGCAACGTCAGTGGAGTTTGCCTTCAATCTGCGTAACCGCGGGTACGACCCACTAGCATCCAAGAGCTTCGTCGGCCGTCTCCGTAACACCGGATTCGTCGACACGCAGCGCGCGTGGATGTTCCTCCCGATGGGCACCGAGCCCGTTGAGCAGGAGCCGCTGCGTGAGACTCCTGCGCCACGTGTGCAGAGCCATATTGAAGACTATGAGGCGGTGCAGGGGCCGATTGGTAGCACTGCGGATATTGCTAGTATGACTGGATTGATTGGAGGGTGGATGTGGGAGCAGTGGTTACTGAAATTGCGAGTAGAGATGGGTCGTGAGCGATCTATGTTGCTTGAGGGTCTTGGTGCGTTGTTTGATGAGGGGAGGAAGTGTGGTGCGGGCTGGACCTGCCTCTCTGGATGGGCTATGAAGCCAAAGCAGAAGAGTTCTGTCTCTTTCGCTAAGGTTAGGTCTATCTAGAGACATTGGTCTATTATTTATGTATTTAGCCTTGGCCCTGGTGGCTCGCAATTAATGTAATCAATGGTTTATGTCTGAGATGTTTTACTTCGCTAAATCCAATCAAACATCAAATGTCAAATGTCAAATGTCAAATGTCAATGCCAAACATAAACAAAGGGCTCCTCTCTGCTTCAACCTCCTTGGAAGGTCCCTCTCCAGGGCTATGCCTATTGCTGACATCCTCAGAAATAGAGACGGGCCGTTTCCGGTGAAGCCTGGAGACAGCGGCGACTCTCCCGCATCTGAATTGGAAGGAGGACGTAGAATGCATGTCGAGTCAATGATGAGACAGTGATCGTTTCAAGAGGCATGACCGAATACTTCTAGGATCTATATTGATACATACAAAGTACTTTAGTTGATCGCATTCACAGATTGAATATGATGGCGAGTCATGTCGCGGCGATCTACCCCACTATGTCTCCGGTCTGTGTTGTATGTTATACTCCAGCTGTTATATATATCTTCCATTATCTCAATCCAAAACTAAATTTGAGAATTAGCCTTAGTCTAAAGAATTACATCGGCATAATAATCCAAACCTATTCCTAATATATTAGCGTAAAATGTTTGGAAGTCTATACAAAGAAAGTGTTGACGATAACTCCGGAGCAGTGTGCCCCGCTACCAGCACAGACAATAGCCCGCTTTCTAAGCACGACATATCTCTTTGGGCATCGAAGCGGCTATTCCTAACGGCTATTGAGATACCGGGTTGCAACTGGATTGGAATTTATACCCGATCTTCGAGTCAGACGTGTTGTAAGACGATCGGCGAAGGGGAGATGGGCTATAATGCGTTGTACATTCGGTCAGACGACTGATCATCAAGCCACTAATAAAACATATATGTTGTATAACGTAGTACAACCAGCAGTTCCCCCAAGGTCAAAATTCAAGACATACACATCTATGCAAGACTACGAAGGAATAGCTAAGACCGGGATTCCAATCTTGGAATTGTTGAAAGGTATAAACTTATACGAAGAATACATTCCTGATTGGCTACAGCCCTGACTTCCGCAGCTTCGACGCAGATTCCAGGCGATGCCTATTTGATCTTAGATCGGATAATCCTAGTAAACCCCTGTCTATCAAGGTCAGCAGACTGAAGATTTTTTTTTTTCTTTCCGGCATCACCTAAATAGGTTATCCAGGTCAATGCAAGGTCTATCGAATATGTCGATCTTCCATTTTACAATCCTAAGCTAGGATTGTCACTGAGAATGAAATTGAACCCCCCTTGGGAGATACTAAGAAATCAAGATTGTAGATCAAGAGACACGTGAGAGTTAGAACCCTTATCAGTTGCATCATGACATTTAGACATTTACCTCGAAGGGAGAGGAGAGGGTAACTATAGTTCTTCTGGACTTTAAAGAAGAAAAGGATAAAAAAGGGTAGTACAACTAGTTAAGTCTAAGTATATTTCTGGATTTACGGTGAACCCAACATATCCACTCTTCGCCACTGATGTAAACAGCGGAGAGCTTCAGATAAACTATTTTTTTTTTCTTCTCTTTATAACCCCTCCATCCCTCCAGGTCCTCCCTAATTACTCCCTTCTCACTCTCTTCCTCCTATACATACATACCTACATCATGGCCCCCCCTCCAGCTATCATCGCCCCCTCCATTCTCAGCGCGAACTTCGCCAATCTGGGCCATGACTGCTCCAAGAAGATGGAACAGGGTGCCGACTGGCTACACGTCGACATTATGGACGGTCACTTCGTGCCAAACATGACCATCGGCTGCCCCGTCGTATCTCAAATCAGAGGCTGTGTCGACCGTCCCTCCGAACCCTGCGGTCGTGGCACTTTCGATTGCCACATGATGATTATGGAGGTAAGTTAATAGACTTTCCCTTCAATTACCCGCGTCATTCCGGGACGTCATGAGCTCTTCCCGCTGACCATAGTTCGCTGTCTTATAGCCGCATAAATGGGTCGGAGAGTTTAAGAAGGCCGGTTGCGATCTTTACTGTTTCCACTATGAGGCGGCTGTTTCCTCTGTCGCCGCGACCGATCCTACCGATAAAGAAACTACCGCTCGTACCAGTCCCAAGCAATTGATTCGTTATATCCACGAGGAGGGTATGCAGGCTGGTATCGCCATTAAGCCAGATACCCCCGTCGATGTGTTGTGGGATATTATTGAGAGCGAAGACCCCGCCGAACGACCAGACGTGAGTCATTCCTTTCCTTTTTTTTTTTTTTTTGGTTACAGGGCCTTTGTGGCTATATTTCCATTTCCTACACGTCGGTTCATTCCCAATTGCAATCGTACTAACTGCGTGTCACAGATGGTTCTGGTCATGACCGTGCACCCCGGTTTCGGAGGTCAGAAATTCATGGCCTCTGAGCTCCCCAAGGTCGCTGCCCTGCGCGAACGATACCCCGATCTAAACATTGAAGTCGATGGTGGTCTCGGTCTCGGTACAATTGAACAGGCGGCCGATGCAGGCGCCAATGTGATCGTTGCGGGCTCAGCGGTCTTCGGCGCACAAGACCCCGCCGACGTCATCGCGAAGCTGCGCCAGGCTGTCCAGAACCGTCGCGGCGCGGAGCTGTAGAGACGAAATGGGTACATAGCACAAAAAGGGGTTTTGGGCGTTTTTATCTTTGGCCTCATTTTAGAGGTGTTTGCTTTAAATTTTCTTTATTTTATTTTTTTTTTTTTTATATTATACATTCTTAATCACGAGTTATGAATGGCATTTTACACGTGGAAGTCAACTGTCCACGCTTTCGAAGTTATTTACATTTTTCATACTGAATGTACGAAAAAAATCGATTGTAACCTTGTCAGGCATTCTTGATGTACAGATGTCATAATCATCGAATTCGTGAATAGCAACTTCCCCAAGTCCTCGTAGTTGCCTACTCCGCGGACTTGTTTGTGGGAGTCAGCCCTGCCTTGGTATCATCCTTCACATCTTCCGTCTTCTTAGCCTCCTCCTTCTTAGCCTCCGGCTTGAGTGCTTGAGGCGCAACAGCCGTCGCAATCATTTCAGCGATAGCATTTCCCTTAGGCTCATTGGGCTCCATAAGCTCTTCCTTATTCTCCACAGCCACATCAATGATCGGACTCGACGCCTCCTCAATCGGCTCCGACTTCGCCTTCTCTGTAGCCTCTTTGCGCAAAGCATCAAGCTCGCCCGTGGGCTCTGCAGAGATGGATTGTCGGATCTCATGCACCGCCTTGTCTTGATCCGCGTTCTCGAGCGTAGACACCCTGGACGAACGATGGTGTTCAACTAATCCGAGCACCTCTGCATTATCTGCGTGGAAGTTTGCCGATGATACGGCCGCTTGTTCGGGAACTAGGGTCGGGCGTTTCGTAGACTTTGGTGAATCGGGAGCGGTGTCGGGCAATTCGGGGGCCACCGAGCCACGGTGCGCACTGCTGGCGGCAGGTACCTCTGCAGCCTGTTCTTTCGGCTCTTTCTTATCATCTGTCTTGGCCTTCGCCTTGGTGGCAGCCTCAGAGCTGGCCTGGCGCAGCGCCAGAACGGCCGTATCATCCTTCTTGTCTTCGGGCTTGGGAGGGGTTTGGATCTTGATCGTGGAGGGTTTCGGGGTGGCGGGTGTGGGCTGGGATTTGGTCTCGGTCGCTGCTGGGGCGGGATAACTGGTGGCGGGCATTCCCCTAGATCCTGCACGCTGTTTACTACCATACGCAATTCGCCGAACTCATTCCATTCTTCAACTTCTTCTAGATCCTACAAGTTGGTGGGGTTAGCACTGTGATCTGGGTATAACAGAGCTGCGTTGGATTATGGCACTCATGCAAGGGGCTGTCACATACTCCCACAATATCGCCGTACTTCACCAGCCCTGGAAGCTTCTTGCCCTTGGAGCGCCGGCCCCAGAGCTTCCGGGCAGCTTCATCGGTGGCAACATCAATGGCGCGGAATGGCAGTTTGTTCGCTTTGAGGATTGTCTCGATTCGGGAGGTGGCGGTGATGATGTGCGATGACCCCGCGGTCAGGGAAGTGTAGAGGTAGAGGGTTGAGTCTGGCATGGTGGTGTGGTTGTTGAAGATGGAATTAATGAGGATTAAGGATGAGGGAAAGGGTCTTTGGGAGAAAGGTTCAATTCATTCAGGGGTTAGTCTTGTCTTCTTCATCTATAGGAGAAAAATAGATTGTTTTTTCCCCTGGAGGATTTATTATGACGTGGCTTGGGTATCACGTGCAGTTGAATGCTTTATCGATTTCACGGGCAAGATTCTCCTCTTTATATAACTAGTTAGTATCACTATGTCCCATGGTCTATGATGTATAACTAATTTCTCCCCACAATACGAGCCGTTCCATGTGTCCAACCGCTATCTGCCCTGGAAAATGGGCCCCAGTGTGGCAACTTGACGTCAGATCCAGAGCGGCACATAACCTGGAATATTCTAAGGTGGATTTCATTTTGCTCAGTTTTAGTCTGAAACAATGCCTATTAATATAGGCACCACGTCCTAGTTATATAGTGAATGTACGACCCGACATCTCAAAGAACATACGCCATAGATAGTTAGCTATAACTGTGATATGTTCACTATCAAGCATCATTATCTGGACTAGGCTCTGAGTGCATGATAAACATGTCTACGCACTATTTATGAAACGTCGTAATAAATAGATGTTCGAATGTCAACTACAAACGGTCATTAGGCACTTCTGGTACTTCGGTCACTTTCACTATTGGCTATTATATATATGGTGGTTCACGAGGTCCAAATCATGGGAGTGCTATTGATAACGTTTTTGGACTGGAACATCATTTTGGGGAAATAAATACCGATATGCAACGATCCTACCTTGAATAGTATAGCAAGAAGAACCTATTCACGGCCCAAGAATACCCAACACCGGATGTACTTTGTGTCTTGTTAGTGTAGTGATATCACACGCACACACAAGATATATAGTATACGCCTATAATAGATCCTCGTGCCGGCTGGAAACCAACAGGCGTCAAAGGAATCAACACCAAGGATCCCTGTCTTATAGCAGGAATACATATCCCAGCCTTCTAGAGGAAGGTCTGAAGAGCCTCAAAGGACGCGCCCTAGACCGGAGGCACAGTTACATACATAGCCAAGCAAACCAATCATACAAACAGACAAAAAAGAACTAACCCACTGACTCAAACATCCAGCCTGCTTGGAAACTGGGCCATAGAACTTGCATAGCATCTTGATCTGTGCTGACATGCGCTTTCCACGAGTCACGAAACACTGCAGCTCGACTGAACCGGCGTCTGGAACCTACTAGCGTTGGAACCAGCTCACTTCTTCTATCGCTTGTCGGCAAATCGGCTAAGCTGTCCTATGTCACGCGATCAGGATAGGGAAGCAGGCTGCATTTGCATGCGTTTAAGTCCCGGGGAGGGCTGGCATGTGGTTGCGAGGCATTGCAGAAGTATACGAACCGGGAAAACACGACCAGTGCATGAAAGATATAGATTCTCAAACGGCTTTATCCCCAGCCCAATATGCCTGTGAGCTCGGGGAGTCAATACCATCAGCTGAGGTTTGGGCATGAGGAGAATACTCATATTCAATCAATGTAGATTTTCCCTTTCGGTGCCATGCATTGGAGTGACTTCTGCCTGTGCACGCACCCTAGAATTTACAGCCTATCATCCAAGGTGGCTTAAAGGTGGCTTATCTTGGAGGTTTGCAAGTCTCACATGTGACCTATTCTATTCAAGACAACCTCTAAATGCAGGTATCAGCTCAGAAGCTCTGAGCATTAATGCAGGGGCAGACTTATCAGCGTCTGGGCTATGCAACGCCCGCAGTCCTTGATGAGCATTTGACATGGATGCTGCGCTGGATCGACACAGGGACTTCGTATTCTGCCTTTCTGTTTTCCTCATAAAAAGATGAAGTCTGTCAAACACATAGTTAACGGTGAGAGCAAAATTTATGTTGAATGTTGGGAGGGCCCTGTGGGTGATAGATCATCAAACTGAAACCCACCCATTCGACTGGAGACTTCCACTTGTCTCGGGACAAATAGAATGATATATCGTACATAGAAATTGTCAACTAAGGCGAAGTATTCGCCCGTTAGGTGTGAGTATGCCCAGTCCGGCGATCTTCACTGACTACCCCGTAATATTATGTTGTAACTATATGTTCACCCTCATGAAAACTTATCCTGAAACAGAGGTTGACGTGATGGATCACCTCTACTTACAACGTGGTTGCGATACTCCGTACTTTGTCTCTTTCTTGGGATCCCGAGATTACCGCTCAGTTCAAGGAATCTAATGTCAGTAGTTGGCAATGCCCAGGATCATCGTCATAATGGAGCCATAAATGTCCACCCATTATCCGATCAGGAGACTGGTTCACCCCATACCGTGGAGCCTCTGTACTATTATCGCACCAGTAAACCCTCGTTTCTCCTAAATAGTCTCCGTACATCCCATCACGTGGAGTGGATGATCTCTCACTAGTGTGTTGTAGACCCTCAGGAGTTGAAAGAGACCATTATTGGGCACGTTGAGTACCCCACAAGCCGAAAATAACTTCTCGATGACCTTGGAACAAACAAGAGCAATCTGGTTCTATAGGCCATCCCTGAACAGCCACAAGCATAAAAAGCATAAAAGGGGGGGAACCGTGGGACTGCAGCGGGAGTGACCCACGGTAACACGTGAATTGAACCGTTCTTGTACGACTCACTCTATTTCCTCCGGGATTTTCAAGGTTCGATATTACTTCATTAATAAGTGTGCTATTATTGTTGACATCTCTGGTTGGGCATTGGGCGCTGAAATGGAGAGCCAAACAGCGTCTGCAGGATGTCCCCGGCTGCCACACCAGACGACGTGGCAGTCTGTCGCCCGAGCGATCTTGGTCCGACCGTAGTAAATGGATCCCCCAAGGGAGGGTCTCGGGGTATGGCTGTGCTAAATGGAAAATGGGTTGATCTTGCGGTTTCTTTCGGGCTCCCGCTGTAGGCGCTTGCTACTCGAGGGAAAAGTGACTTGTTTATGTATTGTGCCATGTACCCCAGGGTCGACATGTATCCGGTCACCTTTTCGTAAGCAAGGACACATTTGCTGGCTCGGCTCACTCTCGGGGTGATCCGGTTCGCTGCCTCACTTTTAATTCTTTTTTTTCTCGGACGTCTGCAGTTTCTCACACAGCAGGATTCCGCTTCGAGGAGTAGTCGGCTCTGTCACCCGGGGCCATGCCCTTGGGGGAGAAGGGGGAAGGGGGGATGGCTTGCTGATGGCTTACCTCGCCACGGATAAAGTTTCAGGCCATAGAATGGAAGAAATAGGAGAGAAAATAGCGAAATGAGGAAATACATCACTACCCAAACACCTTAGAGCCCAGACCGATGATCGACTTCCATGTTGCTTGGAGTATTATTGTACTCTGTAGCTGTCTACTAAGTGCCAATTCTCGTATCTCATTGTGGGGAGTCCTTCATCGACGATCTGAACTTTTGTTCCTTTCTTTTTATCTACTCGTCTGCCCAATCTGCATATATTTCTTCTCCCAACTCGCGATACTGTTGTCTAATAGTTTTCTTCCCCGGGCCTTTACTATACTAAGTACATTTATCTCAACGCAGATCTTCTCCATCTTAATTGCATTGATAAGATCTGCTATTCCACCTGCCATCAGCTTCGATTTAATTTCCATTCTTCTATTGCGCTCCAAATCTACGTGAGTCTTTCTCGCCGGTTCTCACAAACCATGCGCTAACTATTCATAGAAATACAACCCACCTCTCTCCATCCATTTGACTACTGATAGACAGTTACTTCTCTGGCCATTGTGACGAGGGACCAATCACCATGGCTGTCAATCTGGATGACGAACTGTTCACCAGTGCCATCTCCGGATACTACGAAGCATTTTTGGTTGAACACTCCCACCTCCCGGAATCTGAACGAAATCAGCTGTGGATTGAAAGGCTAAGTCAGTTCATCCCGGCCTCCAATGGCGGGGATTCCAACTGGCAGCATGCTGGAAGCCTGGGGAAACGGACTCGACGGGATGCGACACCACGGACGTTGCCATATTCTGATTCCGGTCTTCCCCAGGCAAAACGGAGAGCCACCGTACGTGTGACCTTGGTTACTTACTCCAGCCTTATCTGCTCCGCCCCTCTTGAGCTCTCGTCTCCTAATCCCAACCGCCATCCGTCCATGGATTGACAATTGGCAGACCCCGGATCTATCACTCGACCCAATACGCGACATCTCCCACGCCTCCTCCCCCGACATACCTCGGAGCGGCGCTGCCTTCTCGGGACAAGGCTCCTACCGACACACCGCCATGGTGCGCTCCCAGAGCCAGCAAATTCCGGTCTCCCACCAGCACCAGCTAGCGGGTCCCGTCATAGGTAAACGTCAATCCGTCGGCCCGGTACGGACCCATCCTCGCCTCGACCATGTCGACGAATTCTCGCCATCCGAGTATGCGAAGTATTTGGACGCTTCTCCCAGTCAACCCTTTGACTCCGCCTTGACTTTTGGACTTGCAAATCATGGACAAACCGGACCATCGTTCCCTCAATACTCTGACCGGACGCCCCCCTGGATCGACCAGGCCCCAGCAGCTGCACCGGAGATGTCCCGCAGCACGACTACCGACTCTCTGATCGGTGGAATCAACATGTTCCGTTTCGACTCAACTGGACCACCCACCTATCAAGAACCCACCAGCTCCGTCCCGCCAGAGTGGGTGCCAACCACCACCTCCGGCCTGCCATGTCAAGACCCCTTTCTCTCCCCCGTGTACCCTGACCTAGATCCCACATCCTCTTCCCCATTCTCCCACCGTTCTCCCTTCTCAAACTCGTCATTCTCAGCATCCGCTCCCCCAACCACCTCTTTCCGCTACCCAATGCCCCATAATCGCCTCCCCATCGACTCCATCGACGGCAATAACCTGGCAACATATCACTCTCGCGCGGCGCGTCGTACTAAAGAGCAAATCGCCCAGGCCTCGCGCCCTATTGCTCCAAAAACCGAGACCGTCGAGAACAGCATGTCCCAAATCGACCCTCACAGGATGCTCCGCATCTCCTCGGCAAATGGCACAACAAAGGAGGTCGCCGCTATCCCTAAGGCCTCAATACGGCGACCTCCGCGACCAAAGACATACTGCCGCATCTGCACAGACCATCCAGATGGCTTCCACGGCGAGCACGAGCTGCGCCGCCATATCGAGCGTGTACACGCTACTGTCCGCACGGTCTGGGTCTGTAAAGATATCTCACCTGGCAAGTACTTTCTTGCGAACTGCAAAGCTTGTCGCAACGGGAAGCGCTACGGCGCCAATTATAATGCTGCTGCGCATCTGCGTCGAACCCATTTCAATCCCTGTGAGCGGGGCCGTGGTGGGCGTGGGAAAGATAGTGAAAAGCGCGGTGGGAAGGGGGGAGGTAACCAGCCTGGCATGGATGTCTTGAAACATTGGATGATTGCCGCTGAGGAAGTCACCGATGAGGCGGCTGGCGGTGGCTCAAACTCAAGGCTTCTGATTCGGAATCCTAGCCGTGTTTCGACTAGGGACCCTGGGTATCAGCTTGCTGTTGCTGCTTGTCGTCTGGTCGAGGGTCAGCCCCCCTATATTGTGCAGTCAGCTCTGCTGAAGGAATCTGACCAATTCCCCGAGTTTCCTGATGCGCCGTTTGAGTTTGATTTTGAGCTGGATCTTGACCTTGACCTCGACCTTGAGGACTCGATGAGTTCCCCGTTTTCGGGTTCGCAGTCATCCCGCCGGCCTGATATTGATTCGTATGTCAAGTGAGCGATCGTAGTCTGTTTTGTCTTTTGTCTGTTGTATGTGTTATTTTGTGACTGTTTGTCCAGAGCACCGTTTCATCGGGGTCGTGTACTGTACTTCGGGATGTGGTTAATCGGCAGTCTCCGGGTTAGTGGGGGATAGCATCTTTTTGACTTGGACATATTTCTTTTCTTGGCGATATATTATATTCTTGGACATGACGTTTGGTGGAGACTAGTTCGTGTGAACTAGGGCGTACTGACAGTGATGAGAAGCTCAAGCTAATCTTTGATAATCAATGGAACCTGCCCAGGTGAAGGTGTCACAACGTTGCAATGACATGTCCTAAGACATTCAAGTTTGGTATTCCACCTTGTACATCGTAGCTGGTACAAGCATCGGAGCCTTCCATGGTATGACGGCCCAAGTACCAGGTACTGCCCAGGCAGCAACAATATCGGCGGTCAACTGCCAAGACGGCTGGGCAGGTGGATCGATGCTGTGGTTGGCTGATCACCTCCAGAGGTGGGGTCCCGTGTGACCCAGTGGCTGATCGTCAACCAATGGAATGTCACCCAAGGGATGCAATTTGTGGCTGACTGCGTTAGTCAACGATAGGGCTGGAAAACTGTGGCTGACAGAACTTTGGAGGTAATACTGTGGCCTAAGTACACGGCAGGTACTGGGGGTAGTCGGGAGTACTGAGATGTAATTGTTCCCATGGTTTTGTTAGTATGAAAATGAATGTATTGGCTTGTAAATGACTCAAGAACCGAAAGAAAAGTAAAAAGAAATTGGTTGGGATCAATATTTACTAACAAACTTGGCCAATGTGGAGAAGAAGGGGAAAGGGGGAAAGAAGAAAAGGTACATCGGAGGTACCTCAGCCCTGAAGTCTTGGCAGAAAGAATCTCCTATCGGGCGCACCGGCAAAGTACCTCTCAGGTACCCCGACAATTTCCTTCAATACAATCTCCAGGTGAGTTACCTAACTTTTCTCTCTTTCCTTCTCACTCTCTTAACCTCCTATCTTCATCAACTTCACCTTTCATCTTCTTTCCATCGCTTCACTCACTTATTCCGGTGGCTCATCACAGCCATCCCCTTCGACCAATCTCCGTCTTTGCCTTGTCCCAGGTACGTGGGTTTAACCGCTGTGGCGATCCCTCCTTTGTTACCCTAATCACATCACAACAAGGCGCTTTGTTATCACAACAAGGCGCCGCAACGCCCTATAATGTTGGTTGTTATCAAGTCGCTAATTGGTTCTGCCTCGCTCTTAGAAGACCTCCAGTCGCCATGTCCTATCCCCAGCAACCGCCTCCCCAAGGATATCCCCAGCCGGCGTAAGTCATATCCCTCAGCACAATAATCGATTTTGGCCGACCTATTGGGGCCAACCCATTTAAGATGCCAAAGATGAGACTGGTCGGCATCTGTAGGCTTTGCGCCCGTGGAAGTTGTAGCCTGGTCTACGGCGAGCTTATATCTTGGTCAATACATTGGACAAGGTGCTGATCAAATTTCAAATGCAGATACGGTGGTTACCAGCAGCCGGGATATGATGCTTACGGTGGCCAGCCAGGCGGATACCCCCAGGGTGGCTATGCTCCCCCAGGCCAGTACGGCCCTCCCCAGGGGCAGGTAAGTGTTGACCTAACCGCATGCTACACATCCATTACTCACCGATTTACAGATGCAATACCCCCCGCAAGAACAGCAGCAAGCACCAGAGCCGAAATCATCAGACAAGGGATGCCTTATGAGTTGGTAAGTATCCTCATTGCTGTGGAAAGTCGGAGCAATGCTAATGTGAACTCTGTTCTTTCAGTCTGGCCGTGATGTGTTGTTGCTTCTTGTGTGAGGAGAGTTGTGAATGCTGCATGGAATGCTGCGACATGTGCTGCTAAGCTCTACGATCAATGACATCGACGATACCTTTCTTCTTGCTGGCGTTGGAATTTCTCGATACGCCCCGCAGCGTTCTGGGACAGACTACTGCACTCTTTCAATTGCAATAATTTATTTTCGTCTCTGTTACATTGCGATTTTGCTTTTTCTGGACAGAATACTCCAGGCTTAGTTAATTTAGCACCAATATCCATTCATCCCATTCAAAGTTTGTTTGATTGACTTTGAAACTCTGCGTCCATTGTTCAAACACATGTGCATATATGTATTGAATGCATGGAGAGATACCTAGGTGGCTCTATTAACTCCATTATGAATGTTACACCGCATCTCGGCGAGCTTTAACTCAAATCTCTATCTTGATATTTTGTTAGGCATTGAACTTGACAAACTAGTATTACGTTTGTAAAATCGGTTCACTTTATTTTATTTTGAGACACAAATCATTCATCCTGGGGTTATCTATGGAAAATAAGTAATATAGAGGCGCATCGCTTTGTCTAAGCTAACCAGTCTCGGGAGGGTCTCGGGAGTGGCCAGTCTCGGGAGTGATTGGCAGTGTCCTGTCCCTAAGCGCCTTGTTCTATGCACTGCTGTTTAGTCTAATGAAAAATTGCTTGTAATATTAAACCTCAGAAACCCCCGGCAATATTGATATTTTGAACTTGTTATTGTGCTGTCTCATCCTGTGTCTGATCCTCATCTGTTAGCTCAAGGAACCTCAACATATCGACTGCGTTATGGCTACGGAGATTGGACCAAGCCCACTTGAGACTAATGGATTATGCCTTTTATCCCTTGATGGGGGTGGTGTGAGAGGGCTGTCAAGCCTTCTGATATTAAAGGATGTTATGACACAACTCAATTCAGAGCGTGAGGATAACCAACGGCTCAAACCTTGTGATGTCTTCGACTTGATTGGAGGTACAAGTACAGGAGGGTGTGTCTGTTAGGACAAGATTTAGCAAAAGCTGGGCTGACATATGACACATGTTTAGACTGATCGCTATAATGCTCGGGCGGCTGGAAATGAGTGTCGAGGAGTGCGTCCTTGCGTACACCGAGTTGATGGAATCGGTCTTCAGCGAGAAAACGAACAATGTACCTGTAAGTTGGTCCGGGAATATCATATCACAGTACGACAGCAAGAAGCTCAAAAAGGCCATTGAAAATGTGATCCTTCGAGCTGGGTTGTTGCCAACCGACCTGATGAACGATGGGAAGCCTCGTCGCTCTAAAACCTTTGTCTGCACAACCTCCAAAGATACACTTCAAGTCACACGAATTCGAAGCTATTCTGCGTCAAATGAGATTGCGCTCCAAGCAACGATTTGTGAGGCAGCATTGGCAACCTCCGCTGCGACCAAATTCTTTGATCCGGTTTTGATTGGCAATCATAAATTCGTGGATGGTGCATTCGGTGCCAACAACCCCATCGAGGAAATAGAAGAAGAAGCTGCCGATATATGGTGCACCACGAGCCGGGAGCTGAAACCATTAGTCAAATGTTTGGTGTCTGTTGGAACTGGCAATCACGCACAAGTTCCCATGGATGACAATGTTCTCAGGTTCCTTTCAAAGACATTGGTCAGAATGGCAACTAAACCTGAGAGTACTGAGCGTCGCTTCATGGCTCGATGGAGCAATGAGGTAAAAGGAAAACGTTACTTTCGCTTCAACGTCGAGCAAGGACTGCAGCAAGTTCACATGACCGCGTTTGAGAAGAAAAGCGTGATCGAGTCTGCGACATACGCCTATTTGCATCATCGCTCACAAAAGGTTCGAGTTCGAGACTGCATTCTGAATCTCTCAGAAAAGGAAGGTAGGAATTGAACTCCAGAACCTTCTCTTTTGTTGTCGCCAGACGCTGACAGCTTGCAGGGAAGACAAGCATTGATTTTGAAACAATGATACATGTAAGATATGAATATTAATAACTCAAGAAGATCACATCCTTGGAATGTCAAATACTAACACCCCGTTAGGAGCATGGGGCTCGAATTAATCGCCATCGAATTCTCCAAACCATCCATTCATCAGAGAACGATTTTGGCCGCAAAAAGGCCGCAGGCTGGTTTGTTCCATTCGAGAGAAATCCTAGATACGTCGATCGTGAAGTCGTGGTCAAGGTAAAACGCAGATTATTTGTCAAGAACCGAGCCGAAAGAATTGCTATTTTTGGCCTTGGAGGAATAGGCAAGACACAAATTGCCCTGGAGCTTGCTTATCAAACACGAGAAATCTATCCAGATTGTGCCATTTTCTGGCTCCCTGCAGTTGATATGGAAAGCCTCCAACACGCATACCAAATGATAGCCGATCAGCTTGGAATCGGCCTCGATGATACGACGCAGGACCTGAAGATCCAGGTCAAAGATCACCTCAGCAAACCAAGCAGCGGACGTTGGTTGCTGATTTTTGACAACGCCGACGAGATTGATATGTGGACTGGAAGCGAACCTTTAACACCCGGAGGACTGAAAGACTACCTTCCCACAAGCGACCAAGGGGCCATTGTCTTTACCACTCGAAGCAACAAAGTGGCCCAATATCTTGCCATAACAGACATTATAAAGATCCACGAAATGGACGAGCACAAAGCTACCCATGTCTTGCGAAACTCTTTGGTTGACAAGGAAGTCCTTCACGATGCTGAGAGCACTCTCAAGCTTCTCAGCCGGTTGACCTTTCTCCCTTTAGCCATTGTGCAAGCTGCGTCGTTTATCAACGAAAATGGAACCACCTTGGCAGGTTATGTTGAGCTTTTGGATGGACAAGAGCAGAGCGCCATCGATTTGTTGAGCGAAGATTTTGAAGACAAAGGCCGATACAAAAGCATTCGAAACCCTGTCGCAACTACCTGGCTTACATCATTTGAGCAAATTCGACAACAGAATTGTCTCGCTGCCGACTATCTCTGTTTTATGGCCTGTTTGCAAGAAAAGGATATATTGGCTTCGCTCCTTCCTCCAAGTCCAAATGTCGAACAGCAGAAAGCGATCGGTTTGCTCAGCTCGTATTCATTTGTACGCCTGAGGCATGGAGATTCTCGCCTCGACATGCATCGTTTAGTTCATCTTGCAACAAGGAATTGGCTACAGTCAATTGGTTCCCTCCGAGAATGGCAATCACATGTGTTGCGTTGGTTAAATGCGCGCTTTCCCAACACTGGTATCATGTATCGGGATCAATGGCGAGCTTCGGTACCCCATGTCATTCGGGTCCTCACTCTGACAGAAAAAGAAGATCCCATTCCCGAAAGAGTCCACCTTTTACTCAAGATAGCTGATTGTCAAGTTATTGATGGAAGGAACAAAGAAGCCGAGATCTTTTACATTGAGGCTATCCAGGTTTCGGAGACATTATACGGCCCCGATAGTTTAGATGCATTCGCGGGGACGTACGGGCTGGTGAATAGTTATTGGCGCCAACGCAAGACGGAGAAAGCAATGAAACTATCCGAGGAGATGGCAGAGGCCCAAGGAAGGCTTCATGGTTCCCATAGCATCGAAACTATGAGAGCTCATTTCCTGTTATCGGGTATACACAGCCTCGCTGGCAACCATGATAAGGCCAGAGAGCTTTGCAGGAAAGTCATCCCACACTATCTCAGAACATTTGGTCCAGGCTCTCCTGAGACACTAGAGGCTATCTGTTCCCTGACTATGACTTACGTCTACGATGGACAGCTCTTGGATGCTACGGAGTTAGCTATCCAGTCATTGAATATCCACAGAAAGACGTTCGGGTCGGACAATAATCGAACGCTTGCGGCCATATGTGGAATGGGCGTCATATACCTAAAGCGATGGCAGCTTAAAGACGCCGAATCATTGTTTAGAGAAGCACTTGAGACTCAAAAGCGTATCTTCGGAAGCGAACATCCTGAAACAATCACGTTCATGTATTGGCTAGCTACTACATGGAGGTATCAAGGTCGACACAAAGAAGCTGTTTCCTTAATAACAGAATGTGTCCGTTGCAGTGTGCAGGTCTATGGTTTAGATCACGACTATACTCGGATTCACTACACATACCTGGAATCATGGACTAAGTTCAAGTATGTTTAGCTACGCCACTGATATTAGCGATACATGCACTGACAATATTATACAAGGTCCCTGAACTCATTCCTACGGAACTATGTCCCCCATTTTCGGCGTTCGGATACGATGATGGAACGATTTAGCCATTATCCTAGAGTCAAGGTGTATGGTCTCTGGTACGTTCGACGACAGCCGAGAAATGATCCTTTGCTTCTCGAAATCCAAGAAGCAGTGAAGGGTATGTCTGTGAACAGGCAACTCTCGAGTGATGCAGCCACTTTAGTTGGTGGCGAGACCGCTGAAAATGATTATTTGACGGGGTCATTTCAACCACCCCTCCAATCATCTGTTTGAGGTCCCAAATTACTTCAAGCTCGGTACTTTCTCCATACGAATTTGATGCATTTTCAGTCAGGTCTAAATTGAACCTCATCTTGTACATAGTTGATGCGAAAATGTGAATAAGAAGGAAACTCTATAACTATTCGGTCATCGAAACATGTTCGGTATGGGGAGGAATCTGTCACATAATCCGTGATAGGGCAAGGATATACTTGCATCTAGTGACTCTTTGACCTTGAGTCCTGCTTTTCCCATGAGCAACAACACTAGAACCAACAGAGTAATCTCTACCCGTCAGCCCTCGGACGAAAGGATAATAAGTGGTTAGGCGGTCGTCCACAACCATTTCGCAAGCGAGGGCTCCCTCGTGCGCTTTGCTATATTAGGTTATCATGCAGGACACCCAAAGCAATCTTCGTTTGAGCGAATGCCAGCTGCGGTTTATAAGGATTCGCCGAAATCATAAGGCCGATGAACTAATAAGTAGTAGTGAAAGTTATATCTCGACTATGACTTCTGAAATAATACAATCTCCAGAGCAAGCCGAAGAGACACCGGCTAATCAGACGGATATCTCGGTTGGTTATACCTGGGTCCGGTCCAAATCAGATAAGAAGTGAATTTTCCCGGAATCCATCCGGGTTCCTGGTTTTTTTTTTTTTTTTTGGGCGACAGGCGAGGCAATTGAGGGAATTCCATGATTTATGACCGGAAAAACGAGAAAGTATATATAGTTAATATAGAACTCTGGTAGCCAAGAGGCCAAGTGAAGCTTGAGACTAACGATACAAACCTTGGAAGCTTATTGTGGAGGACGCTTACCTGTTATGGCCTAGAGCTCGCTAGATAAGATGAGGGCGACATCTGATTAGATCTGCCTGCAACCATCAGAGCACAAATACTGTGACATCCACCCCTGGATCAGCATTCAAGCAGGTGCCTTCCGTATTAAGCGCACATGCGGTCTTTCCCCATCCCTCGGCGCCTGCCTATGCCGACACCATCTACACGCTTGGTTGGGTTCGCACGCGCCTTCCGAGCGCTGTAGGCCTACTATCCGATAATTATGGCCTGGTCGCGAGAATGCCGGAAATCGGCCGAGGGACGAAACCACAGCAGGTCTCTTATCATCAGGGAACAACAGCGGGATTCTATAGCTCCATATACCTTTGCCAGAGACGGAAAGCTGCGTCATTACATTGGTGAACACTAAGCCCTATGTGATAGCTCGGATTTGATCGCACAACTATATGTTGACGGTCTTGTTGATTCCCCTGAGCCCATTGATTTCGTCAAACTGGCCGAGGAGAGTGTGCGAATAAACAGCTTGAGGTTTTCAGATGCAGAGCAAACGCTAAGCCAAGAGCGCATTTTGGGAACTGTCCCGATGGCCTTGGAAGCCTATTGTGGGCGGTACTACTGGGGGGAGGGAGGAGGGTGACGGGTCTACTGTATTGACATCGAGCGGCAGGGCGAGGGGCTGCAACCGGTCATCCAAGGCGAGCTGATCAAGGTTACAGACTCCAACATTACCACTATAACACCTTTACTTGGTTGATGACCAACGATGAAGAGGCAAAAAGAGGCCGCTTTATCCAGGCTACCTACACGTACAAGGTGGTGTTTCACTGTGACGAGATACAAGTGATAGACGGCTTTACGTGGCAGCAGATTGGAGAAGGCAAAGCATTGTTCACAAACAGCGTGCGGCATGATTCGATTCCAGCTAGCAGTTTGGCTTTCAATCCTTTCCTTCACGAGTACACAGTTCATTTACTTGACCGGGGTTGTAAAGACGATCCCTGCCGGTCCTGGTATAAAGGCAACACTAACACTGGCCACGAGAAGATATCTGCCTTGTGGCGAAGTACTCTTCATTACAAGGGGCCATCGACGACGTTAGATATGATGACTACGACATAGAGTACCTCCAAGGCACACGCTTCAGCTACCTAGGGAATGGAAGATCCAGGGCTGAGAGTCACCCAGATGCGGGCCTATCCTTCTACATCCGCAACATCGACGACAATCCGTCTTTTGGCAGCAAATGTGTCTATGAGAAGTTGCCTTCATATTCGACATGATCCATCTGATGGCAGCTAGCAGATTGCACATAAACCTTCTTCATCGTCGCACTACTAGATTAGTCCTGGAAGGACTTTGTGCTGAACATGGAGCGATGTGTGCACGCTATCAGCTCTGAAGTATGCTCTACACTTCAATTTTTGAAGTTGAACTCTCCATTGAAGTGTTCAACGTATTTTTATATCACAATTGATCGATCACGTAGTAAAATTACGGTGAAGCTAGGTCTAGTCCGGAGTAGGAGTAGGTACCTGGCAATGTGGTGAGCTAAGCACGGCCCCGGGCCAGCCGTGTGGAGGATCTGCGGAGAAAGGCGCGCGGATTTACCCGTCAATCACACCTCACATAAATGCAGTGGACGACTACCCCTCAACCGCAAGGGAGGCGTCTCTTGGTTGTAGCACTCTCAAATCAACATGAAGAACCGGAAAGACCTTTCATGCATGTGCCTCGGCGCTTTCCCTGACAAGATTATGCTGCAAGGAACAGACCATTACAGCATACCCTTCAATGCGCCGATATTTCCCCTGGCGGGTGATTACTTGGAGAAGCTCCATCTTGGCGCATACGCCCCTCATGGAGATTTACTTAGTTGGGAATGAGGTGTCGCTATTACGGTCGCTCTCAGCAGATTGTTCTGCCCAGGCATCAAGTATTGTCCTCGAACCCCTCATGGAGATTTACCCGATTGGGTATGAGATTTCGGTATTACGGTCGCTGTCGGCAGATTGTCCTTGCACAAAGGAAGGGATCGTCTTATGATCATCGAATCCCCTCAGACGTCACCTCGATCCATCCGGGTCAATTGGAGTGCAATGAGGAGCACAACTAATTATCCGGAATGGCACTCGTTGGATCATGGAGTTGCTTGGATATAAATATCCACCACAGCGCCTTTCAGTAATATTGCCTATATTATACACAGCATTGGCGAGTAAACAGTCAATTTTGGACTGCTCACACCACAATGTTGCACAAATACCTTCTTCTGCCGCTTTTGGCTTCATATGGTGCCGCTGTCACCATCTCGGTAGCAAAGTCTGGAGGCAATGCCACATCAGGTCTGCAATATGGAGCCATGGAAGAGGTATGTTTGGCTTCTTGTCGATTGCAGTATTGGACCTAATTGAAGGCCTAGGAAATCAACCACTGCGCTGAAGGAGGTCTCTATGCGGAATTGATCCGCAACAGAGCGTTCCAGGGGAGCACAAAGTTCCCTTCGTCACTGGATGCTTGGTCTGGTGCTGGGGACTCATCGCTGTCCTTGAAGAACCTCACTGATCCATTGTCAACTGCCCTTCCAACTTCAGTCAATGTCAAGGGAACTGGCACAGCTGGATTGGTTAATGCGGGTTTCTGGGGAATTGATGTCCGTCCTCAGAAGTATACCGGCTCATTCTATGTCAAAGGCACTTATGAAGGCTCCTTCACCGCATCTCTCCTTTCTTCCAGCGGGAATGTTTTGGCCACTGCCAAGGTTGAATCAAAAAGTGTTGCGAACGACTGGGTGCAACATGAGTTTGTTCTTACTCCCAAAGAAAAGGCTTCCGATACCAAGAATAAGTTCTCGCTGACTTTTGATGGCTCGGTAAGATTTGACATGAAAATCTCCACGTATCTTGGCTAATTGTTTCTAGAAAGCATCGAGTGGCTCGCTTGATTTCAATCTGATCAGCTTGTTCCCACCCACGTGGAATGATCGCCCCAATGGCATGCGGAAAGACTTGATGCAAGCCATGGCTGATATGGGTCCTGTAAGTTGAAGTTTACCTACCATCAAATCTGAATGATGCTAATAAGCTTGGTAGACATTCCTTCGCTTCCCTGGAGGAAATAACCTCGAGGGTGACAGCATCGAGGGCCGCTGGAAGTGGAACGAGACCATTGGGCCACTCACCGACCGGCCTGGTCGTGCAACCACCTGGGAATACCAAGAGACCCTTGGACTGGGTTTGATTGAGTACATGGAGTGGTGCGACGATCTTGGCATGGAACCAAGTGAGTAGATCATTATGCGACGTTTTAATTTACCACGCTGACAAGCCCTGTTTAGTCCTGGCGGTCTATGCTGGACTTGCTCTGAGCGGGGATGTTGTCCCGGAGGCCGACCTCGATTTCTATGTGCAGGATGCCCTCAACGAGATCGAGTTCTTGACCGGCTCTGTGGACACTGAGTACGGTGCTCTGCGTGCCAAGGTTGGACACCCGGAGCCATGGACAATTCGGTATGTCGAGGTTGGAAACGAGGATATGCTGAGCGACGGTCTGCCTACGTACAAGTCCTACCGGTTCTCGGCATTCTACGAGGCTATCACGGCCAAGTACCCCGATATCCAGGTCCTTACGTCTACTATCGACATGACAATTCCTGGAACTGCAGGTGGTGATTACCATTTGTATGATACCCCAGACAACTTTGTCAGCAAATTCGACATGTTTGACAATTTCACGCGCGAGCATCCTATCCTGCTTGGTAAGTCACTCGGTACAATTGCGAGAGCCTAACTAACACACGTCTAGGTGAGATTGCCGTTACTTCGCCATTAAACGGACAGGAGATTGACTGGGCTGATACCAATTTCTCTCTGTATCCTTGG